TCTGTCTGTTTTGTGGCTTTTTTTGTCTTGATTGGCTGGCAACATTGTGTTTCCTGTATTGGAGGCTTTTAGTGCGGCTTGGCTCCAAGTAAATGGACGGCTATCATTTATTAGGAAGCTGGTTTCATCTGGGTGCCTGGTTGCGGTGTGTTTGAGCTGGAGGTATCAGGGGGAGTCTGTTTGTGCCCAGGTGTTTGGCTGGCTTGTGGTGTGGAGATTTTTTTGTTTGAGAGTGCAAACTCATCTATCTATCTATCTATCTATCTATCTATCTATCTATCTATCTATAAATCTAAATCTATATCTTCCTATCTATCCATCCATCCATCCATCCACCCATCCATCATCCATCATCTGTCTATCTGTCTATGTCTATCTAATATCTATTCTACCTATGTCTATCATTTATATCTATCTATCTTCCTATCTATCTATCTATCTATCTATCTATCTATTTATCTCATCTATCTCATCTATCTCATCTATCTATATATATCTGTCTATCATAGCTCTCTCTCCGCCATGTGTAATTTACGGTTCCATTTTCTCTGCCATAAAAGGTTTTGTTTGTTCAACTTTTTCCACTTCTTAGGCAAGGGAAGTTGGCTAGTGATGACAAACTATAAACACACCCTGCAGAAATTTTGTCGGTTGTTGCTAAGGAGCGACTTTATCCCTGTAGCTGTTGTTAAGACACAATGCCAGAGAAGTGGAAAGAGAGTGATGAATGTGCTAATGTTGATTCCCCACTGAAAGAAAAGATCCAGGAAAAAGACACAGCAGTTAAAACAAACTAAACATAACCACAATATGATAAATGTAAATACATATGAATAACAGAAACAAATAAGCTAAAATGAAAGATAAAGAGATAGCGATATTAAGTACAATAAGTATAATAAGATACGTCTAGAGAAGAAAACTATGCAATGAATATGATTGTCAATGTTAACTGTAGTGCACCAAATATTGGTAACCAGATGGCATGTCATCAAGTGGAAGGTGTTTGTAATAAAAGTAAAATAAAAAAAATATGGGGAAAAAAAGGGGGGAATGGAGTGAGGAATGTATTCTCCAAAGCACCAGAAGGCAGGAGAAGCAGCAATGGATGGAAACTCATCAAGAAGAGAAGCAACCTAGAACTAGAACCTCACTGTTCTCCCAATGGTGAGAACAATTAATCGGGCTTGTCTCCAGAAATTGAAGGTGCTCCATCACTGGAGGCTTTCATGAAGAGACTGCACAACCATTTGTCTGGCATGCTTGAGCAGGGGTTGGACTAGAAGACCTCCAAGGTCCCTTCCCACTCGGTTATTCTGCTAACTACCTGACCTCCTAAACTGATAAGGGAGGGTTTGGGTCTGGCCAGGTCTTCTTTTCTGTCTCCTCCAGTTTTAAACTCTCAATGTATTCATCTTTCTTCTCTCCAGGTTTGTCTGGTGGCCATCATTGGGTTTGTGATGCTGTGTATTTCTTACCAGCCGGATGAGAAGACATGCATTCAGTTCTTCATCAAGGTACGTTGTGTTTTTATTTTATTTTATTTGGACAAGAAAGAATGAGTCAGCCGGAACAAGGTTAGAAGAGAAGATTCCAGAATCCAAGAGTGGAGATCCTAGCAACTTCCCTGTTCAGAAGTGTCTGCAGGATCCAGTCAAAAAAGTCAAGATGGCAGCTGAAGTGGTGTGATTGAATGGAGGGGGGGGTTGTGTGTGCTTTATGTGTCTGCCTTAAAAACAAGGAACATTAAACCACAAGCCGTTTCAACCACGTGTTGCGGCTGCCATCTTGAATTTTTGAGCAGATCCAGCGGACATTCCTGTTCCCATTATTCCTTGGTTCTTTCCCCTTATTTAGGTAAAAGTGTAGATTCAGTATGTCAACCAACCAGAGCCAACATTTCAAACTAAGATTTTTGATCGTTTAAATGTTTTCAGAACCAGCTAGTTTCTACTAGTAACTACTCATGGTCGTGGTGTTTTCTTATCAAAACTCTCCTCCTCTTTCTCCTCTCCTCCTCCTCCTCCTCCTCCTCCTCCTCC